ACATATTTGAGGTTTTTCTAAATCCTCCATTTTTAACCACTAAAATAACATGCCTGACAAAATAAAAAATATGTCAAATACTTTTCGATTCACTAAAAAATGGTCCAAAGTAGAAGCTGATACCAGTTTTAGTTTAAGGATACGGTTTTCCATGCTTGTCGGGTCGATCGGGGCTTGCAAGTAGGTGGTACTTGTTGTCTTATTGGTTTACAACAAATGCACAGGTGGCACCCTGAAACGTATCGACGTATATCGCGGTACATGTCGCGTGTGGTTTCGTCTGTCTGCCAGCGATCCACGTTTCGACATATGTCTGTGTCGAATTGTTGCTCCTGGACGATTTCTTCGGCTAAATGAGTCGTGTATATGGCACTCAATGTTGAAACGTTCGCATTTGTTTCCGCTTCAAGTGGGTCTTGACTGGGTGGAAACATCCTTTCTAGTTCCGGTTCTTCTGACACTGTCTCTTCATTACCGGAGTGCCTAGAAAGGGTGTCTGGCAGTTCGATTTTTCTACTCGATACGTGCTCGATCGTAAAAGATATTTTTTTAATGCCCCAAATTATTGCTAGACATTCTTGTTCATTGCAGTGGTACTTAGTCTCGGTGGGAGACTGGCCTCCCCCTGGGACGGAGAAAGCTGTATTCTTGCGACTGTCTTTAGCCATGCGGATCTGCCAGTAACCACTTTTGAAATCTAAGGTGGAGAAAATGCGCGCTTTTCCGATGTCCTTGATGGTCTCGTGTATTCGGGGTAGGCATTGCGGGGCATCTTCCGTTTGTTTGTTGAGACGTCGGTAGTCAGTGCAGAAACGGTATTCGCCACCCTTTTTACCGGCGATAACGATCTCCGAGCTGAATTCTTCTGTGGTCGGCTCGATGACATCGTCTCTTAATATTTCGCGTATTTGGTCAAAAATGAATTTGCGTTTCTCTTCGGAATATCTTCTGTGCAGCTCCCGGAAAGGTGTGAGGTCCCTGAGGCGGATTTCATGCTCCACCTTTGCTAAAGTCTGTCGTAAACGTCCACCGTTGTAGAAAATTGAGGCGTGTGTCTAGAGGAGGTCTTCAAAAGTCTGTTCGTACTCTTGCGAGAAATTTTGCTCAACTATCGGCTCCTGGAAGGTACTGGGAGCTTTGTATGGTTGGCCTATGGGTCCAATATAGATACGCTTGCTTTCCTCGTTACCTATAAAGATGCAGTCGGCGCCGTGGTCATGAATGACGTGGTGTTGTCTCAGCCACGGTCGACCCAGGATCATTTCAGGGCGTAGTTCAGGGCTTGCCAAGAACGGACCTGGATAATGTGTCCCTTGTAATCTTGGATCTAGATCAAGCCTTCCAACCAACGGTATAGTATGATGTACGGCTGCAAGAAGGGCGTGAGATGGTCCTCCTGTTAGAGAGTTTATTTCTGATTTGGTTAATAGGGTGCTCCTTATGAACCTTTCTGAGGCTAACGTATCAATTTCCGCGACAAGCTCTCGGTCACCTAGGCGGACATGGATCTTGGGGAGAACGCTGGCCCCGGTATACAGGGCTGTTATTGTTGGAATGGACGTGACGTGTTTGGGCTAGCAGGCGGGTTGTCTGTCGCCCGGTCTCGCCAGTTTCCCGACATTTGTTTCTATCGGTTTGCCTTGAGTACCGGGCAATTCTTGTGAAAATGGCGTTCCGGACAGTGGAGTTTTTGCCTGTGAGGTCGCGGATGCCTCTGCAGGAGAAGTTGGGGTTACGGAGTTATTTCCGCCTTGGGTTTTCTTAGGCTTCGAGGCTGGCTTGGCATGATTTTCTTCTGCCTCGTCAGCTTCCACTTGCACTGCTCGTTCAAAAAGGTGTTCAAATTAATTTACAGGTACTGATCGTAGGACCTTCTTGATTAAGGGCTTAAGTGATTCCAACAGGAGTGTGATAATTTCTTCCTCTTGTGATCCGGGCAGGAGTCTAAGTGAAAGCCTTCCTAGTTGCGCTGTAGGAAGACCCCGACAGCTTCCTTTTCAGCTTGTTTCTCGGATTAAAGTTTTACTCGGAGTTTATTAAGCTGATTTATACTCGCGAAGCGTTGTATAATCAGGGAAGTGAATTTGGGCCAAGGAAGTAAAAGATTCTTGTAGGGCTCAACCCATTTCGTTGCAGCCTCGGTAAGGAAACCGACAGCGGTTTTGACCTAGGAATTCTGATTACTTCCGGTTTCTAGAAAGTAATTTTCGCATTCGGGGAGGAAAACACGAGGGTCTTCCTGATCGGCTCCAGCGAAAGTAAGTCTAGGTATCTCCGGGGCTCTAAAGGCCCTGACAAACGTCCTCATATCAGCAAGCGGAATCACGGTTCGGTCCGGATTTTGCGTTGCCACGGGAACAGAATTTGCAGGCATTATGGTTGGAGCCGAGACGTGTGTTTGTTCCTGTGTCGGAATTGGTTGTTGAGCTGTTTGACTGGGTCCAGCGTCTAGTAGATCTCGTCTTGAGATCCTTGTGCCACGATGTAATGTAGAGGCCGCCTCTTCGTGTCTTTCTGGTACGAAGCGGCTCCTTACATTTAGAGTAATTGCTTCATATGGTGAGGGTTGATCACTGGAATGGGAACTTATGAGTGCGACACGTCCGGACGGGGAAGGAATTTCTGACCACGAGTGTACAACAGACGGATAATCCTTCGTTAGTTGTCCAGTATTGTGTGTTTGATTGTAAATTAAATAAACAATCGGCACTGAACTTTTTGAGCAGCTTCCTTTTCTATGTAACGGCGAGCGATCTGCTAAAGCGGTTTATCTTCCTTCCTTATCATTCTTTTTATAGACGTCATATAGTTCTGGAATTTAATAGCGCTGAATTGGCCCAGTAGATCATATTGGCGCGGATCATCGTACAAATGCTACAAGTTGTGGAAATTTTGTAAAACAAATTAAATAGAGTAGAACATACATGTTATATAAATTTTATGGCTAATGAAATATATATCAAATGGATATCATATTAAATACCACTTATGCAATATAAATTGTATGTTTAATGAAATGTATGTCAAATAAATTTTTAATTAAATGTTTTTTATACCAAATAGATTTTTTGTCAAATGAAATTTATGGTAAATGGTTTTATGTCAAATGACTATTATGTCAAATAAGATTTCGCTTGAAACTCATTACTCAGGAGTTTTTAGGGTCGCTGAATACGAATCTGTGGTTAATTTTTAAAAATTCAAAAAGGCGGATCCAATATCCGCCAGTAACAATTTTGAAACTAGTTACTCAGGGATTTTTTAGGGTAGTTGAATACGAAAATGAAAATAGATTTTGATGATTCAAAACGGTTAAAAAAATGTAAGATGCTTGTATGTAAGTTATGTACCAGAAAAATGACGATTTTATAGCATAGCTTGAGTTATAATCGTTTTTTCTAACGATTACTCAAAATTCTTATGATCGTCATTTAATTTATTGATCTGATACTTATCTGTTATGGAAATCATTAAAGCATCAGTGTAACTTTGTGCCGTTTGTCATTTGTTTTACCAAATTCAATACTTTCATCTTGGTAGAATTATTAGAGTATAACCTCAGATTCGTACTCAGCGACCCTAAAAACCCCCATGTAACGAGTTTCAAGCGAATTCAGTCGATTTTTAATTTTCATGTTCGCCATATTAGATCCGACATTTTGAAGTTTTGAAAGATAACCTCAGATTCGTACTCAACAACCCTAAAAACCCCGAGTAACGATTTTCAAGCGAATTCAGTCGATTTAAAATTTTTATGTCCGCCATATTGAATTCGCCATTTTGAATTTTTAAAAGCTGATAATAGATTCGTATTCAGCGACCCCAACAACCTCCGAGTAACAATTTTTAAGCGAATTCAGTCGATTTAAAATTTTTGTGTTCGCTATATTGGATCCGCCATTTTGAATTTTTAAAAACTGATACTAGATTCGTAATCAGCAACCCTAACAACCTCTGAGTAACGATTTTTAAGCGAATCCAGTAGTTTTTAAATTTTCATGTCCGCCATATTGGATCCGCCATTTTGAATTTTTAAAAACTGATACCAGATTCGTAATCAGCGACCCCAAAAACCTCCGAGTAACAATTTTTAAGCGAAATCAGTAAAAAGAAAAATGCGTGACTCAAAGACTTAAAAATCAGTTTAAAAACACAAAAAATTTATAAATGAATGTAATTAACTTGTACATTAGTTAATTTAATTTCTTTACAGTTTTGTGCAACATAACGTCCTATTAAAACACCTATTTGTATACCGACTTCATTTTTTTTAAATTACCTCTTGGCTACATTTGTCACTCTTCTGCTCTGCAAACATAGAAATAGTATAATATTTCATGTAACATTCGTAACAATTTCGAACGCAGTTTTCGATAAGATTTTTAAAACGGCAACCAACTTTTGCAGTTCAATTACAGCCACAAACTATGGCAACATCTCTACATCATTATCAGGATGTTTCAATTCATAGACCTGATTCTCCGTGCAGTCTGAGACGATCGTCACCAGAAATTCTTCAGAAAATACGTCAAGCTCTTGATGAAATAGGAGGAAGCATTTCTTTAAAATCTGAAATTGAATTTAGTGATCGGACGTACTTAATTGAAGCAATTCCACCGGACTCCAGTTTCAATTGACATAAATAAGAAAGTTTTTTAAGAAAATGTCTTTTATTATATCTATATGTTAATTTATTAAAAAAAAATTTTTAAAGTTGTTTCATTGTTTAAATTAAGATCTTTTAAATATTCTGCAATAAATTAATTACATTATTATCACACGTAAAGGTTTTATTTTGCTATATTTTTGTTAAAACTTTCTAATGCATAGAAATAAAATAAAAACTAGTTGTGTCAGAGAGACATTGACAAGTAACATTAACTATACTCTTATATAAGACTCCAACAACTCATTTGTACAAAAGTAGTGCAGGTAGTGTGATGTTACAAAACTCTCACATTTCTTTCGATGTGATCAAAATTGTAAATACAAAACAGAAATTACATATAAAAATATTTATTATAAAATAAATTTACATTTTAAAAATAAAATTACATTTTAGTCTTTTTGAGCAAACATTTAAATAAAGATTATTAACAAAACAAAAATAGATATACATATGTATTTGACCAATACCAGAAAGTAATGATAAACAAGGTTCTTTTTATTTTAATATAAATTTTAAGCCAGTCCAACTATGCCACAGGCAAGACGAGCACCAGCCGAACCTGTTTTAAGACTATCCTCAGTTCTGCCACGTCCTAAGTCATCTTCCTTTTCATGAATAACTATTGCTCTTCCTATGGCACCTCGAGCACCCATTAGAGTCAAGTAATGGTCAGTACCATCGACCTGTGCAGTTCCGTCTTCACCAACTTGGATATTCCCCAAATCGCCAACATGTCGCAATGGGTCATTTGGAGCGCCATGATGTACCTAAGAAAATCAGTAATACATAGCAGTGAGATAGATTATAAACAGTACTGATAGGCGAACTATGCCAAGGTCAACTAATTTTCTATGTAATTACTATAACTATATCGGCAAAAACTTAAAAAAAAAAAAAGGGAAAAATTAATATAATTTAGCAATTATATTAATTTATTTTAACTGATTAGATTTGCTGGAAATTTTTCGGATTTTTAAAAAATTATAGGATACACTTCGAATTTATTACTAGTGAGTTTCATAGAGGTTACTGATTGTGAAAAAAAGGCTTCAGTGTTCTCTAACCTCCACGTGGTTGGTTTTATTTAGTTGGGTTCCTAATTCTTTCCTTTAATACCAGACAAAAATTGCAGAAACTTGCAATTTAAGGGGACAACTATAGTTGCAGCGAGAAAAAATTCATAATTTTCATGTAATGCTCGATCTTGTCAAGGTCTTCATAAAAAATATGGTTTGCGATGACCACGATTAGAAGAAGCTGGTTCATCAGAAGCACAAAATTGAAACGGATTTAGTTAAAGTAGAAGATAATCTAGTACTTAATCGAAGGATTTAAAAATTTTCATTTTTAACAAAATGACAACCGCTCAAGCTCAACGTTTCAATTTTCACCAAAAAAATCTTTAGTCATCTGTAAAAATACTAATGGTGCACGACGAGACTCTGTCCTTTCATAACAAAGAAAAGATAAAAACATAATACTCTATTGCATTCATTCTTTTTCTAGCGAGATGTGGGGGATGCTTTGTAGTTCTTAGGAACTCTAGGCATGTATATTATGTTGATGATTTGCAGATTTATGTGCACTCTAGTCTTGATGAGCTGGATAAAAATATCAAACTAATTAATGAGGATGTTCAGGCCGTTTATGATTGGGCAGAATCCAATAAGCTTAAGATAAATCTCCAAAAAAGTTATTCTATGATTATTGGTTCCTCTTGGAATATTAAATGTTCGAATTTGGGTGCATGCCCTTTAATTAAAATAAATAACACTGTTATTCCTTATGTATTATCTGTTAAAAACTTGGGTATCATTTTTCGTCAAACTCTTTCCTGGGATAAACATGTTAGATTAATTTGTAGAAGTGTTTATGCAACCTTACAACAATTCAAATCAAATAGAAAAGCTCTTTCTGTTTATAATGATCTGACAGATGAACTTAATGATAAGCTTGAAAAACTCCTCAACTCATGCATAAGATTTATTTTTGACTTAAAAAGAGATGAGCACATATCTCCATACAGGAAAAGACTGGGGTGGTTGAATGTCAGAAATCGTCGATTGTTATTTATTGGATGCTTGACTTATGTAGTTCTTAATACTAAAAGACCTCTTTATTTATTTGATAAATTTACATTCAGATATGAGGTTACTTCTAGAGAACTAAGGAATCCCAATGTCCTTAGAATACCTCTTTGTCGAACTGAACAATATAAGAACTCATTTTTTGTTACTGCTGCGGATCTGTGTAATTCTCTTCCATGCTCGATAACTAGAGCGGATAGCATTGGTATTTTTAAATTAAAACTTTTTAAATATTTAATTGCCTTCGATAATTGAGTTTTATTGTTTTGTGTAGTTTCTTGTATTAATTTTATTTGATTCTGTACTTATATAATTTATATTAGAATTTATTTGCGTTAATTTGTATTCTACAGTATATGCTTGTGATAAAACAGATTCTATTGAATATCATAAGTTTCTAGGAGGTTTAGAACTGAAATGTTCAGATATAGGTGTAATCTTTATATCATGATGCTCATTGTATTAAAACTGAAGGTCTTGCGTCTTTGTTCTGTAACATGATTGCATTATAATCCTTATTACTGTGATTCTTTTGGTTTAAAATTTTTTTTTGTGATTTGCATAATTCTCTACTGTTTGTACATATATATTGTATTTGTTGTATATCAATAGTTGTTCTCATGGTTCTCCTGGGACAAAATAAAGAAATTCTAATTCTAACAATAAGTAAAAGAGGAAGTGCACGTGAACCTGTCAGCGAATTACTAATTGCCCTATATTTCTTATGGCCCTGTTTCGTAATTATTGAAATTAAGAGTTTCAATTACCTGATAAGGGTTGAAGTGCGCTCCAGCTGAAGAGCAACCTTTTGTCAAATCCCCTTTTTCATGAACATGAAATCCATGCAGACCTGGACTTAAACCTTTAATTGTCCCTGTGATTCTTACGCCATTGGGTAATTGTTCTAAATTCAATATTCCACGAGGTCCATCAACCGGATTACCATCTTCTCCCAAAGATTTTAGTTCTACAGTGGCTCTCAAACCAATAGGCTGTAAAAAATGTTTTTCATATCAACGTATTATAACATACTAGCTGCGATACCCGTCTTTGATGGGTTCTCATTACCTTTACAGTATCCCATATTAAATATAGAATGGTATTTAGCAAATTTCATTAAATCTAATTTTCTTCAAGTTTTTTAAGTTTCATTATTGCATAAAAAATAAAATTTTAAGAAAAGTAAAAAGATAATGTTTATAATTTTTGAAAAACGCTTATCGGGTGTTTTTGACAAGTCTTTAGATTATTCTCCAGGAGCTTAGTGAAACTAAAAAACTAAGCAACTCCATGGTAAGTGATCATGGAAATTTAAATTTCAATCTTGTAGCAATACTGCAAGTTTTCGACAAGGAGACATTTCGTTCCTTACAACAATCTTACAGGAAGCTTGAAGTGTAAGCTTAATGTCCTTACAAAATAAGCTCTCTGCAAGCTTTCACACAATTATTTTAAAAATGACTTTAATAATAAAATTAAATTTATTTATGAAATTACTCTGTTTATAGCAAGTAATAAAAAAATCAAAATTAAGTTTACGTCTAGTCTAAATGATTTCACATTAACGAATAAATAAGTTGATCTTATTTATTTGTCTTTTAGAAGATTCATTAGCAACCAAAGAGATAAACTATCAGTTTCTTAAATTCAAAGTTTAAAGTAATAAAAAAATGTAATAACAGATTGTTTTTTAAAACAACAATAAATTTATGTACTTCTCTTTCAACAACTCAGAAACAATGTCAGAATTAAAACATCACTATCTTTTTTTTAAACCGAAAATCTACCCTTAAATGTACAAATTCAAAGTTTAATGTAAAAAAATTTAAATAAAAGATTGTTTTTCAAAGTCGAACAATATATTTATGTACTTCTCTTTCAACAACTTAAAAACAATGTCAGAATTGTTCCATCACCCTATGTTTTTTAAGTCGAAAAAACCACTCTTAAATGTATAAATTCAAAATTTTCAGTAAAAAAATGAAATAACTGATTGTTTTTCAAAACTAAACAATAAATTTATGTACTTCTCTTACAACAACTCAAAAAGACCCCAATTATTTGTTTAAATTAAAGAAAACCATTCCTAAGAGGGTAAACTCAGATTTGATTGGAAAAAAAAATAAAAGAAATATTAACTTTTTAAACAGAAGCATATGTTTCTGTATTTTTGTTCTCACAACTAGAAAGCAGAGACTAGAAATCAAAAAACTACCCTTACATGGATAAGCTCAGACTTTAAAGGGAAACAAAATTTAAATGAGTTTTTTAAAAGAACCATGAAAGCCATAAAAACCATACATTTCTGCATTATATTTTCAAACAAGCGGTGTAATGGATTTCGATTTCTTTTATCTGCATTTTTTCCCTACCCTTTAACGCCGGGACAGACGCTTTTTTCAATCATTTTCAACGTTAATTATTTTTATTATTAGGCATGTAGGAAATTTTCGGAATAATATTTTCTTACGTATTTTTTATCGCTCTTTCAGAATCTGTTACCAAAATTGCAAAAAACAAAAATTCCAAAAAGTTATGGTATTTTATTTGCAAAAAAATGCAAATTTTTGACATTTTTGATTCTTTTTTCTCATATAACCAGTAACCAGAAAAATTCTTCACCATAAAATATCGCGTCCACAATATCCAAGCTTCAAAGTGATGGACCATACATTTAAAAATTTCAAGTTGGCGGATCCAAAATGGTGACAAAAGAATTTTTTTCACAAAATTGACACCCTGTGGACCCTTTTCTTAATTCCCTTTTATCTATATAAAAAGGAGTACCTGAATGTTTTTTGGGTCGCTGATTATGAATATGATCTCACATTTCAAAAACTCAAAATGGCATATCCAATATGGCAGCCGATACTTTAAAAAATTGATAGAATTTATTTAAAAATTGCTACTCAGAGGTTTTTGGAGTCGCTGATTACGAATATGAACTCAGATTTCAAAAATTCAAAATGGTGGATCCAATATGGCGGTCGATATTTTTGAAATTGCTACTCGGGGGTTTTTGGGGTAACTGATTACGAATATGAACTCAGACTCAAAAATTCAAAATGGCGAATTTAATATGGCTGTCGATATTTTTTAAATTGATCGGATTTATTTAAAAATTTTTACTCGGGGGTTTTTGGGGTCGCTGATTACAAATATGAACTCAGATTTCAAAAATTCAAAATGGTGGATCCAATATGGCGGTCGATATTTTTTTAATTGATCGCATTTATTTGAAAATTGTTACTCGGCGGTTTTTGGGGTCGCTGATTATGAATATGAACTTAGATTTCAAGAATTCAAAATGGCGGATCCAATATGGCTGCTATTCTATTTTAAAACTTATCAGATTTGCATGAAACTTGTTACTCGAGGGTTTTTAGGTCGCTGAAAACGGATATGAAGTCAAATTTCAAACGTTCATAATACCGAATCCAATATGGCATTCAAAATTTCTGAGAATGATTAGATTGGTTTAAAATTTTATTCGTTTTTTAGCTGGGTCATTTCGCAGGAGAGTTAAGGTTCATGTCTCAGATTTTTTTATATTTTGCTTATTAATAGTATTTTGGGTCCTTAACAACTATACCAAATTTTAATTAAATATTTTTATTATTTTTCAAGATATTTGCATTGCAAATTTCTTGACATTTTTTTTCATTTTATTATAACTCACTTATTTTTAAAAATTTATTAAATTTGTTAAGAACCTTTTTTACGGAAAAACCATTGAAGTTTAATAAAAAAAAATTGAAAATTAAAAAATATCAATTTTTGTAATTATTTATTTATAAAATTATATTTATTTTTAATGTTTAAGCATGAGCCCTATCAGATTTTGTTTTAAAAAAAATCTTATTTTAAAGTTTAAGATCTCATTAAAAACCCGTGAAATTTTTAGAATGTCATCTGTCTTTGTTTTTTAGTAATAAATTGTCAAAGTTTTAATTGCACTATCGCGCGCCGGCTCACAGTGGAATTTTTTTACAATTTACTGTTCAAAAATGACTACAGTTTTTAACCGATTTGAGTGTTTTTTGTTTTAAATTAAAGAGGACATCCCGGGAGGCCGATTTTTTAAATATAAATTGTTTATAATTTTTTATTTTAAACAAATTAATACAATTTTTTTAAAAAGGACGTTTATTTTCTTATTCCGTTACTGCACATGATCTAAATTAAGTTCAAAATAATCCAATATGTCCACCAGACAATTAATAAAACAAAATAATTTATTTCAATTGTTATAAACAATATTAATTAACAAATAGTTAACTTTGATTCCTCTTCACTAAAAAATGTTTTTCTTCACATTTACTTTTATATTTAGGTTCATTTAAAGAATATATATCCTCCTCGTTCAAAACATAACTTATTTAAATTGTTATTAACAATAAATTTAATATTTAGATAAATGCATTGTCTTTCTTTTGGTTTTTGCAGTGGGTTGTTATTTGTTTTACAGCAACATTAAATTTCATTTCCTTTAGAAACTATATAATTTCTTACTTAATTCATTTAGCTGAATGCATTGTCTATTAAAGTATTAATGGACGAGGAGGAAAGTTTACCTCCTTGTGATTTGAGTCGGACAATATAAAAATAATTTCAATGACAAAAAAACATAAAATTCTAATTATTCTCTAAAATTAAGACCGCCATTTAAGGTTCGCTATTTTAAACGTTTGTAATTTGACTTTATATTCGTTTTCAGCGACCCTAAAAACCCCCGAGTAAAAAGTTCCATGAAAATCCGATAAGTTTTGAAAAAATTAACCGCCATATTGGATCCACTATTTTGAATTTTTAAAATCTGACTTCAGATCCGTAATTAGCGACCCCAAAAACCCCTGAGTAGCAATTTTCAAATAAATCCGATCAATTAAAAAAATTTTCAACCGCCATATTGGATCCGCCATTTTGAATTTTTGAAATCTGAGTTCATATTCTAATCAGCGACCCAAAAAACATTCAGGTACTCCTTTTTATATAGATAAAAGGAGAATTAAAAAAAGCGTCCACAGGGTGTCAATTTTATGAAAAAAAATTCTTTTGTCGCCATTTTGGATCCTCCATCTTGAAATTTTTAAATGTATGGTCCATCACTTTGAAGCTTGTATATTGTGGACGCGATATTTTATGGCGAAGAATTTTTCTGGTTACTGGTTATATGAAAAAAAAATCATTTTTGAATCAAAAATGTCAAAAATTTGCATTTTTTCCACATAAGTGGCCATAACTTTTTGGAATTTTTGTTTTTTGCAATTTTGGTGACAGATTCTGAAAGAGCGATAAAAAATACGTAAGAAAATGTTATTCCCGGCGTTAAATGGTTAAAACAAAGTGAAGATGAAATTTTTTTTTCAATTTCTGTCTGAAAAATCTGAGTTTTACCACGTTAAGGGTAGTTTTTTTCAAATTTTAACAAAAACTCATGTTAATGTTTTAATTCTGACGCTGATTTTGAGTTTTTAAAACAAGAATACAGAAATGTATGCTTTCTTTAAAAAATTAATCTTTTTCTGATTTTTTTTCTTGTTAAGGGTAGTTTTTTTAATTTTAACAAAAACAAGGAGTGATATTTATTTTTAATTCTGACATTATTTTCGAGTTATTGAAAAAGAAATATATAAATTTATTGTTCTGTTTAAAAAAATGTATTATCTCATATTTTTACTTTAACGTTTTTGTTCGCACATTTAAGGGTCGTTTTTTAATTTAACAAAACAAAGGGAGATGGAGAAATTCCAACATTGTTTCTGAGTTGTTTTAAGAGAAGTAAATCAATTTATTGTTCTCTTTAAAACACAATCTGTCATTCAAATTTTTCTACTTATTTAAAATTTGAATTCGAACATTTAAGGGTAGTTTTTTCGATTTAAAAATTAGAAGGTGACATTGTTTCTAAGTTGCTGAAAGAGAAGTACATAAATTTATTGTTCTGTTGAAAAAAACAATCTGTTATTGCATTCTTTATTATTTTAAACTTTGAATTTAAGGGTAGTTTTTAGATTTAAGAAAACAAAGGGTAATGGACAATTCTGACTTCATATTCGCTTTCAGCGGGCAAAATACTATATAATATGAGTATAAAACATGAACATTGTTTGCAATAATTTATAAAAATTTAATTTTGTATTATTATTTGTCCGGTGGTTATGATAGACTTATTTAGAATTTTAGATTGATTTCGATCATGTATTATGGAAAAATAAAAAAATAAACAATTATTCTTAACATTTGGAGCATTTAGAAAATAAATTCAAGTTTTAAAATAAATAACGTATTTCGTAATCACCTTTTCTTTAATTTTTTTGCAAGTATTTAAAAAAAATTTTAAACGTTATATCAAAAAGTGCAATACCTAATTATTAATAAAAAAAAGAAATTTATTTACCTTCACCTTAATAGAACCTGTGATAATTAAAATTCTACAACAGGTTCCTTTAAAACACAACGTCTTCTAAGAACAAAATGTCTTTCTGCTTTGTTAGGATGTCTCGCATTAAGTTATTTGTAAAAAAATTAATTCCCGAGTACATTTATGTCAAAGAAAATTATAGCATCCTGTTGTTATTAAACACAAGTTCGACAAGTAAGAGGAATGGCAGCTTCTGTACGTCCGTCATATTTCTTTTAAATGACTCATCATTTTCAATGATTGACAGAAAGTTTATCAAGGTAAAATTGATTTGCGTACCTATAGTCTAAAATTTTGTTAAATGCTTTAGTAAGTTATCTTAAAGTAATCAACTGAAATAAACTGAACATAATAAAAAAATAATACATAAATATTATGACATATGATGAATAAGCATTTAATTGGAAGTTTATCTTTTAAATTTTGTTTCTCAGCGAAAGAATGAAAATTTAATTATTGACAAGCCTTCATTTAAATTAAAAAATTATTTTAAAAATCACATATTTTAGCTTTTTTATATTGTTGTAGTCTTTTCAAGTTCCAAATATGTATATATATTCTTCCAAATTTCTATTAAATTCATTAGTATTAGTCGAAAATTCAAGAACTTATGTTTATAAATTTTTCTTAAAATTTAGGAACTTAAATTTGTTATTTTTATGAGACAAATATACTCCCACACAGCACCGAAACTCACTAATCTTTGCAAGTAAATTTTTCGAAAGTTTGCAAGTAAATCTTTAATAAATTTTTAGGAAAGTTTCGGTGCTGTATGGGCTTTTATTTAACTAAAATAAATTTTATTTTGTTTAAATAAAATTTTTTTCTAGTTAATAAGAATGAAATAGGCTTCGCATATTAAATATTGCAAAAAATAGGAAACTGAAACTTTTTTTTGAAGTGAAAAAATTTATAAAAATAGTACTCCTTTATAATATAATATTTACATGCATTATTCACAAAGGTCAATAAAAAAAATTGTTTATATTTGTCACATGCAACTTAGAGACTAGAAACTGATTGTTCAAAAAATGCTATATTTTATAGTTTAAAAGTTATAGGTATTTATGGAACAAAATAATATTTTATAGTACCTTTAATTAAGATATTGAAAAAAATTATTTGTCAATTTATTAATTAAACATTTTTAATAAGTAAATAAACAATAGGATTGTTTTTTAGAGCAAATTCTTTATTTATTTGTGCAGTCGACTAAATTCAAGTTCAATGTTAATGTTGACACCATATTGACAGATCGAAAGTGTGGTTATGTATTGAGAAATATTATATACAGAATACAGTTTTTATTTTAAAAAATTTTTTGGCAATTGCGATATTGTTTAGATTTTCAAAATCATGTGTAAGTGTATAATAATGTTTGTCATTAGAATATTTTAAGTGTCAATAAATTAAAATAATTATTAATAGAATAATAAATTCTTATGAAACATCTATTTATTATATATATCAGATAAAAAGATTAGTCTTAGTAATAAATTAATAGCTTTCAATTAAACTATAAAATATTATTTTCTATTTTACAACTGAAAATTAGTACACAACAGATTTTTAAACAAAAAAATATGAAATAATTATTAAAACATTATTTAAAAATTAATTAACATATAAACAACGATATATATTTTCTGTTTCTGACAATAATTTCTTTTTAAATAACTTAATTCTTCAAGAACTATCATAAAATTATTACTAAGAAATTATTTAATGAATAATTTTACTTCAAAATTTTTAAAATTAATTAGATTTCAAAAGAGTTGTGTTTAAAATTTGCATAAATCGATGAATTTCAAAGGCTTCAATATGAAATTTTTAAAAATTTCAATTTTTAATGAATTTAAATAGAAATTTTAGGAACAGCTGATTACAGAAATTCAATTATTTTCAAAAATTTATAAACATTCTCGTTAAAATTTCAATTACTTTTATAAATAATACTTCTTCTCCGAAATTCAATTATTTTCAAAAAATTTAATAAAATTCTTGTCAAAATTTCAATTATTTTCGTAAAATATAACATTCCTTATAGAAATTACAATTTTACTGTCAAAAATATTTGTAAAAATCTTCGAAACAATTCAATTATTTTCTTAAAAAATAAAATTCTTCGAAGCAATTCAATTATTTAAGAAACTTTAATTAAATTCTTCCCAAGAATTCAATTTTTTCAAAAATAAAACTTTTCACAATAATTCAATTACTTAAAAAAAAATTTAATAATATTCTTCGTCAGATTTCAATTATTTTCAATTTTTAATGAAATTTTGTCGATGGAATTTAATTATTTTCAAAATGTTATAAAAAATTTTGAGAAATTCAATTATTAAAAAAATTTGAATAAAATTCTTCACAAGAAATTAATTAATATCATAAATAATAATATTTTTCTCCGGAATTCAATTATTTTCACAAATGAAATTCTTCACAGGAATTTAATTCTTTAAAAAATTTTTTTATAAAATTCTTTGCAAGAATTAAATTAATTTTATAAATAACAATATTTATAGCAGAGTTTCAATTATTTTTTATGTACAATTTTACATAAACTGATAGAAAATTGCATTTATTCTTTATAATTTTTTTAAAATTAGCCGAAAGAATTCAATTATTTTTAAAACTTTTTATAAATTTCTTTAAAAAAATTCAATTTTAATATTCAATTATTTAATACATTATTTATCTTTGTATTTCACTTAAAATTTTAGATTATAATTGAATATTAAAAGCATCATAGCGTGAATTTTTATAAATATGTGAATTTTGAAAAGGGTTCAAAGATAGAATATAACAATTTTTTTTGTAAGTTGTTTAATTTCAGAAGGTTTGGATTTGAAATCCTTAATTCCTGTAGAAAAATAATATTGATTAAGTATTTATTTAAAAAAGAAGTTATTGATGTTGTCGAATAATTTTACACTTAATGAAATTCGTAAATATAAATGTAATAGAATATTTCTTTGAGTATCTAATAATTTTTGGAGTGAATCGGTATATTCTTCAGGGTCAGGGAGAAAGTCAAAATTTTTTCTGTAAATCAGGGAATAGTCAGGGAAAAACAAAATTAAATTTTCGTGGCAACCCTGATTGTGTTAAATATAATACCGTTTAGAAATTACAGTCGTTCAAAAGATGAGTGGTTACCTTGGGATACCCCTTTCCCTGCAATTTCTTTTGCAATTGCATATTTGAACTGTATACGAGAAAACTGTAAACGAATTAATTTAGAAATTAATTCTAATATCGTTAAACTATACCTTTAAACTGAATACTCATCAACTGCATGCAGTCAAATTCTCAGCATTGACATAATGTAAACAATGAAATTCACATTGCTGAGAACACTTTAATGATGTTTGAATTTATTTCTAAATTAATTCTTTATAGTTCTTTCGTATGCAGTTTAACAGTATGCAATTAAATGTCAAATAATTTTTTAAATAAAATATAAATTTAATTTGTATACAGATTTTCCGTATGAAGTTTAATGGTATACATATATACATTTTAAATGTATGTAGTTTACAAGTTATATTAAAAAAATTTTATTTGAAATTTAGCCTGTATACACCTTTATCTTGTTTATGCAAAATAAATTTTGTTTATGCAGTTTTCGTGTAGGTAGTTTAACTTACTATTGTAGGCAACAGCAACCGACCCTTTGTTAAAATATTAATATTTCATATTAAATAGAACATGAAGGTTATAGTTATAAGCATGCAGTGAGCTCACAGTAATCTTACAAGACCACTGTAAGCTTACATTGTTAGATTGCAGTAAGCTTACACAGCAAGGTTGGGGTAAGCTTACACTGTAAATTTTCAATAATGTTACAGTGTAAGCTTACTAAATGAGCCTCAGAGGAAAGAATACAATAATCTCACATGTAAACTTACGTTGACCTGAAGTGTTGCAGTACAGTGATAATTGTATCTTTTGACTAAAATGAACCTACATAAACTAAGTTTCTTCAACTAGATATTACTCTAAATCATTCTCGATATATTTGATACGTATTAAAATTATTATTTTTAATAGAAAATAAAACTGATGAAACTTATTTTATTTCTTAAGCACAAGTCAATAATATGTTGAAACTTTAATATTTTTAATAATTAATTTTGCGCAACTTCAATTTTGCTTCTTGAATATAACAAAATTTCAGAAGAAAGTTTTTTTTTAAAAATTAAATTAAAAGAGGAATTTAACTGCAATCGAAATAATTAATTCATTTAAATATATTTACATTATTATAGAAGGAATATAATAAATACATACAAACAGATAAGGTTCCATATAAACTTCGTATAGATTACTCCTTACACCTCGTAAACCAGGTAAACTTCTGATGAAAACAGTCCTATCATTTATGGGAGCAGTATTCACTTTATCAGTAGTTCCTCCATTTGATCCCAAAATTAAACTTGCAGCAGTGAGAGTAATGGCCAATAACCACATAATGGTATCAGCTTTCTTCAGTAAAGAGAAAATAATTATACCAAAATTATCAAAAAGTTAAAAATACCCAATTTTATAAATAATGTTTAATGTATTATTAATTATGTTAAATACAAAGTTATTATAATCTTTAATATTTAAAATAATTAATTTATTAAAAATGTGTAAATATTTATCAAAGTTTCTGTTGAAATAGACATGTAATAATAAAGAAATTTCAAAAAAATTCTACATCTACTTTATTTTTAAGATTTTTAGTTTTAAAAATTAATTGTTAAGCGAAATAAAATTGATTAAAAGTTGTTCTTAAAAAAATTGATTTTTTAGTAATTCTTATGATTGTGAATGAAACGCACCAAATTCACTTGTAATTAAAAGAAATTTCTTTCTATAACCGAAACTAATGATGAAGATTTATGTTACGTCATTAAAAAAGAACTGCGGTGACCAGAGGTTCGAACTACGTATAAATACTCTGAAAGGATCTTTGGAGACCTTGATGATCGATGAGCAAGCACCTTCTTTACAATAATTACCTTCTTTTCAAAAATTGTACATTTGCCGAAATGCAGAATAGATATGAAAAAATTTGGCGCTACCAATGTCACTGGAATTGAGTTCTATGATAGTTTAACTTAGGTGTACAAATCTCTACTTATCTAAAGTAATATATAACAGATACAATTATTTGCACGAGTTACGAAGGTGCACATGCATTTGTACCTGTATGGAATAAGTGAAAGCAAAGGGGCAGACGTACCCTAAGGCAACGTGACCATGCCTAAGGCAGATGAAGTCTTTCATATTATGTAAATACTGAAATTATGATTGTTCTCTCAAAATTAAAATGCATGTAAAAAAAGTACAAATTTTTTAATATTTAAATTACAAATATATTCTTCTGAAAAAACATTAATGTTAATAAAATATTTATTCAAATTGAAATTAATGACGTACATAAGCGAGAAGTATGAGAAATGAGCAATATTGAGAAAGACATTATTCTATTGTTCTTTTCTCTTATCTCATCTAATCCCATTTCATATGTTACTATTCACCAATCGAATAATGTATTTTTGAAATATTAATTTGCTAAAATATTATTTTCATATTATTAATATTTCTATAAATAAAATTATTTGCGAATTTTGTTTGATTAAAATTAAATAATTTGAATAAAATAATAAGCTAAACTAAAATATAGTTTTACTAGAGTAAATGCACTAGTATTGAACGTTTAAGGATTAGTTTAAATTAATAAAATATGACCTCCAGATGAATATACTAAAGCATAAAATAATTTATCTAAGCTGTTATAAACAAAATTCGTTAACAAATAGTTAATTTTGGTTCCTCTTCATCAAAAAATTTTGTTCTTTTATATTTATATTTTACTTTAGGTTCATTCAATTAGTATATATCTTCATTTGGTAAATAAGTAACTTATTTAAATTGTTATGAACAATAATAGATAATTAACTTTAGTTTCTCTGCACCAAACAAAATTTGTTTCCATAATTACTTTTTAATTTAGGTTCATTTAAAAAATATATGTTTAAACAAAAGTGAACATATAAAACTTTTTGTTGAATAATTCTAAACAATGCAATATATATTTACATTAAATTTTACATTTATTATGTTCTTAACCCTTTGAGGGGCACATTATTCATACGGACGGATTTTCTTTACATCTCATGACTTAATATTTTTGGGGTCGCAGATTACGAATTTGAAGTTAGTTTTTAAACATTCAAAATGGTGGTTCCAATATGGCGGACATTTTTTTTAATTAATCGACTTCGCTTGAAAATGTTTACACGGGGGTTTCTGGGGTCGCTGATTACGAATCTGATGTTAGTTTTTAAAAATTCAAAATGGCAGTTCCAATATGGCGGACATTTTTTTTTAATTAATCGGCTTCGCTTGAAAATGTTTACACGGGGGTTTTTGGGGTCGCTGATTACGAATCTGATGTTAGTTTTTAAAAATTAAAAATGTCGGATCCAATATGGCGGACGATTTTTTAAAAACTCTTTAGTTTTACCTGAAAATTGTCACTCGGGGGTTTTAGGGATAGCTGATGACGAATCTGATATTAGTTTTTAAATATTAAAAATGTCGGATCTAATATGGCGGATGACTTTTTACAAAATTGATTCAATTTACCTAAAAGTTGGTTCTCGGGTGAACCCCGTTCACTGATCACAAATTCGATGATAGTTTTTTAAAATTCAAAATGGCGTTTGCAATATGGTTGATGACATTTTTCAAAATTTATTCAGATTTACTTGATACTTACTTTCAAGAGTTAATGCTTTTTAAAAATCTAAGATTAATTAGATAATTGTAAAAACTGAGTTGCTGACTAATTAGAAATTTTTGTTGTAAAATTAGCAGGAGTTTTATAATAAACATATTCCAGTTTATTAATTTTAAAAATTTCTCCGCTAATTATTAATCCACAATCTAAATTTAAAAATAGACTAAAGATTGGTAATCAGGGACTACAACAACCTCCTAGTAACAAGTTTCGTGACAAGCTAATAAATTTTTACATTTGTCATCTGTCATATTGGATCCGCAATTTCGAATTTTTAAAAACTAACGTCAGAATCGTCATCAGCGATCCCTAAAACCCCCGAGTGATAAGTTTCATGTAAAACTAAACAATTTTTAAAAAATCGACTGCCATATTGGATCCGCCATATTGAATTTTTATAAACTGATGTCATATTCGTAATCAGCGACCCCAAAAACTCCCGAGTAACAATTTTCAGTCGATTTTAAAATATTTAAAAAATTTGTGAATTTTAACAATAATTTATGAATTTTTTTAAACAATAGGAATTTTTTAACATGATCTGGGTTACATATTTTAAAGCCCTATTCTTCCTGAAGAGAACGCACTAAATTTTACTCAAAAATATTAATTTTCGTTAAAGATATTGAGGTTTTTGTAACCCCTCAAAGGGTTAAATGTTTGTTTTTATTATCTTTTCTTCGTGGTTTTGAACATTATAATAATTTAAATCGCTAATAATTTATTAAAAAAATTAGTTTTCTTCGCGTATCATGGTCAAATCAGAGCGTTGATGTAATAAGTTTAACATGGTTGTTTATTGTAAAAAGTAAAATTATAATTATTTTACCTGACCCACCACGAATATTTCGTTCTTGAATATATGAAGCTATAAAATTCTATATCGACTTTTATGCAATTTGAAAAAAAACTTCAATACTAGCAAAATCCAAATTGTGCGCTACGCTGACAATCACTCATATATTTTAGTGTAATTCTTATTTTGGCAAAGGTTATAAATCTTCGGTCTTAACACAAAAATCAATCAAGAATTATTTGTTATTATTGTTAATATTAAATTAATCAAAAACAATATTAACAAGTACCTCTACCTAACTAAAATTTTAAATTATTAATAGGGTAAGTGCACTTGTAGTCGGACACGATCTTATATTATGCTTTTTTTCTTGAAATAACAAATAGCTACTGCTTTTAAGCACACTATCAATAAAAAGAGTTTTTCAGGATTAAAAATCATATAATTAAATCTGTTACAAATACTTAAGTATTTAATAAAATATAAGCATTTTAATAAAACAATAAAGAAAGTTTTAGTAAAAAACCCTATTTTTGACCTTTTTCGATCACGTGTAGAAAATAATGCTAAATTATTTTAGCTAGTGCTACGTGTTTCTAATTGGGCATAAATTAAAGCTTAAACTGTCAACTAAATTACTTTTAAATCGAAAAAACCGTGTCAATAAATAACAATAAATAGCGAAAATAAAATTAATAAGTAAGTGTGCCTTTGTGTATCGCTCTATGAGTGCAAGCAGAGTGCGCGCGCACATGAAAAAGTTGTGCTACATGACAATTTTTGATTGATTCACGGTTTTTTCAATTTGAGTAATTTAGTTGACAGTTCAAGCTTTAGTTAAAGCCTAATTAGGATATTCTTAGCACTTTGGCATTATTTTCTACACGTGATCAAAAAAGGTCAAAAATAGGGTTTTTTTGACACTTTTGAGACCATTTTCTCAAAATCTCGAAGTGATGGGCACTTTTTGAGGTCAGATTCGTGTTCAGCGATGAAAATCTAATAAAAATATCCTAGTCTGATCTGTAAATCAGAAAAAAGTTATTTTCTGTTGACCATTGTTATTCAGTAAATTACTAAATTATCAAAACTTAAAATTACAATAAAAATCAAACGGCTACTAATTTTTCAAAATCCTTTGGGGATTTTACTCAGCTAGGGTAGTACTTTCATCCCATTATACTCAAGTCTTAACCCAAAAAATTTTTTCTAAAATTGTTTCACTGTGTAATGAATAAAATATTTAAAGGAAAGGAATTTATCATTCGATATTAATTTTATATTAAAGGATGAAGTTAACAATCTGTCCAAATCATTTCTCACTTAAAGCTTCATTAAGATTACATGTATATCGACAGCACAGACGTCCTATTAAAATACAAAAACCTGCTTTTTCAAAATCAATTAATAATTTAAAAATTATCGAAGAACTCAGAAAAAACGGAAGCATGGTACTCAGAGAATCTCGGTGTGTATGTAGCTCAGTGGTCAATCGGCAATAGAAAAGTCGAGAGCTCGCTCGTATCCTACCATGCTCCCGTTTTTTTCTGAGTTCCTTGATAATTTTGAAATTATTAATTGATTTCGAAAAATATTTTTCTGAAAAAGCAGGTTTCTGTACTTTAATAGGACGGCTGTGTGAAAGAAAAACTTTTATTCAAGAGAGCTCGTGAGAATAGAATGCCGAATCGGCTTACATGAGACGACTGACGATCGCAAGGCGACTACACACAAGTACACTTGTTATAGAGGACAGCATCTGTCCAAGGAGGAGTGAAGCACGAAATACAAATATTTTATGAAATGATGAAATTTATTATAAAAATTTAACAGGGTTCTTATTATTACTTCTAACCCATTCGTTTGGATGAAGACACCAGTTACATCCTTATTCACCATTAAATTGTGTCAGTCCTTGCATTGGTGCTCTAGCTATAGGATCGACACAACAAGTTAAGCAAAAAACTTTAATTGAACACTCCTCATGGTCTAAGGTACATTTTACACTTTCCTAAGATAGTCTACGTTCATATTTTCTACAAAAGGTTTTAGGAAAATATTCATGTCTGCCCAGTAAATGAAAACTAATTGAAATGAATTAAAAAGAATTCACAAAGAGCTTTCGTGAATCCCGCTTTGTGACAAATACGAATTGGAGCCATGATGCAATTTTCCTGCATTCGTGAAACTGTATTGAACTTCCGAACCTTCTATCCGTACCAATTCACTGGACAAGTTTTGAGCCTTTAATTTTTTTCAATTCGTTAGCACGAATTCAATGCATTCCTTGGCCATTTCTTTCGAATGCGAATTCGTTTGGACAAATTGGTACATATTGAATTAAATTCAATTGAATATACAAAGAGCTTGAGTGAATCCCGCTTTGTGACAAATACGAATTGGAGCCTACCAAAAATGTTAATTCGTTTCAATTCATTTGAATTAGTTTTTTTTTACTGGGTGGCTTATTTTTCCCGAACCATAAGCCAACAACTAACAATTCAGACGTCCTAAAAGAACTTGGTAACTCATTTATTATCAACGAAACCAAATAAAAGGCCAAAAGAACTAAAAGTAAGGTGTCCTACCTACATTACCAGTTTCCCCAGAAAAATATATTATAAAGTAGATTAAAAAATTGTTCATTTTATAAAATTTTCAAAAATATTAATCTTACCATATTGATTGCATTATAATATTTTATCTATTTCACAGTTATTTAAAAGCTAAATGTTAAAATATGATTAATATGAATTATGTAGAAATCTTTTTTATTTTAATTTTACAACTCTTGTGTTGTAATAGACATGGTCAATTCCTCTGAACTTACCTTATTATATCGTAAAAAATAAATTTAAAAGAGTATAGTAATAAAAATTTATTTAATATATTATTTAAATTATGTATTTAGAGATATGGTTGAGCAACAATAGACTTAAATATCAATTATTAAAACACAAAATGTTTTTGACACGTTCCAAAAATTTTTATTCAAGAAATGTATGTACTGTATTGTTGAAATTAGTCACCGAACTCTTCCTGATGGAGATCGAAGATGAGATTTTATGTATCCTGTTCGATAATCAATTATGTCGCGAGTTGCACCACCTGGAATGCCATGTCTATGTCTCCTGCTCCACCTGAAAAGAAAAAAAACAGTTATAATATGATATATAATTATTCACAAAGAACTAGGAACTTGGATCTATAATAATTTAAATAAAATTAATTACGAATATGATATTAGTTTACAAAAATTCAAAATGTCGGATCCAATATGGCGATCAAAAAATGTTGCAATGAATGAAATCAATTTAAAGTTGCTACTTGGTAGGGGTTTTCGGGGTGGCTCAATCAGAATCTGATTTTAGTTTTAAAAAATTCAAAATGGCGTTTCCAGTACGACTTACGATGAAATCGGTTTCAGATTTTCTTGGTTCCTGTTACACTACCGGTCAAAATTGAGAGACCACTTTCCAAAGTTTTATTAAAAAAGTGAAATTCTTTAGATGTTGATAACTTTGTTTAAAATTAACGCAGAAAGTTTTTTAAGTCAGTTTGGAAAGATTATAAAATTTGCAGTTAAATGATTGTATGTCTAAGACTTTTGGATAAATAGTATCAGAAATATTTAGTGATAAAGATAGGTGTAATTTTTGTTTTCAGTGAATTTTCATTGTCAAACTTTGATGGGCTGAAACTTTAAGAAAAGTGTTTTGAAAAATCATTAATTTGTACTAAATGAAAGCTTGAACTTTTAACTTAAAAATAAGACCAAGTATACTTTAATTTATTCATTGGTTTCTAAGTTATGAGTAAATCATATTAATAAGGCACGAAAACTGTTCAATGAACTGATTCAACTGCGTGCTCGTCTGGCGCTCGTCTCCCTCAGCCAAAATATGCTAGTAGCCAACTGGCACTTATCGGAATACCAAAGTTTACAACGAAAATACGTACAATTGAAAATCTTTCATGCATAATTTAAATAATTTAGTCATAACTTAGAATATGTCTCCATATTAGATCCGCCATTTTGAATTTTTATAAACTAACATTATATTCGTAATCAGCGACTACGAAAACTCCAGAGTAATAAGTTTCAAGAAAATATGAGGAATTAAAAAAAATATGTTCGCCATATGGCATCCGACATTTTGAATTTCAAGAATTTAACTAATATTTTACAACCCGACGGGAACCAGAGAACCCAACTTTTGAATAAAGGACTGAAAGGGGATACACAAAAATAGTGGTCCAGTTTTCAAGGCTAAAACAATTCCTCTGGCGCCGGGAAACTAGAGAGCTCGCCGGAGACAAATCCCCAGCTACCATCGAAATAAATCCTTAATCACAAACCTTAAAATTTATTAATATTAACTTGTTGGGTAGATGCACTTTCTCGTTTAACACAAAACATGTATTCTGTTTTTACAATGTTCATTCATGATTTCCTTATTTAAATGATTTATTAATTTTAAGGTTTGTTTTATGTAGTGGATATGATTCTTACAAAAATGTTTAATTTTAATGAATTCACGTTTTTCATTAAAATCTTTTAATTATTTCTACTGAATTAATATTAGAGAAACATAATCCTTTAAGGTCTAACAATTTTAGTTATATTATCACTTATTCAGAAATAGACATAAGTTTTATTTTCTAGAATAATTTATAGGAAACTACCCAATTATATTCTTTAAAAATGTGGCATCACTAAATTAAACCATTCTAAGTTTTAAATCATTCACGACAAACAAATAGAAATAATAAATTTTACTTAAAATACATGTCAGTCATCTTTCTTTTTTGAACCGAAATAATATTTTACGCAAAGCTGTAATAATGTCATTAAGAATATAAAGTTTTTCAAGGGTTTTATATTAAATTTAATTATTTTTCACTTTCAAATCTATACAGGGATAGGAGACTTTGAGATGGTAGTTTGTGCTTACAGAGTACTCTACCTCTATCAAAGAGTAGGTATGTACCGTAAGTTAGAAATTTATACCTCTTATTTTTTTCTGTGTAAAGTCGTTTAACTATAAAAAACATAGACTTCAAAGTGTTAAATTTAAATATCACAAAATTTAAAGGCTTTAAGGATTTGTATATATATATGTGACCTGGTGTATGAAAAGGGACCTTACATGTCAAAAAATCATTTTTTTACTTTTTTGTTGATTCGGAAAGAGTTTGAAACGCTCTTTAAGATGGTGAAAACCAAAAAGTAATAAGTTGATTAGAAGTTTACAAAAAAAATTTAAGTCAAAAGAAACAAGAGTAGGGGAGAGTCTCCAGTTGTGAGACACCTCCAGTTGTGAGACAGTCAATTTTTTTTAACATGCAATATTAAAAAGCCGATTGGTTTATATAAAAACATTTCTTTTTATATGAGCCAACTTTTTCGTGTACGCCGAAGCGGATATATAAACTGTTTTTGTTAAATACCAACACTGTGTGTGATAATCGACTAAAAAACGTTTTTTCAATAAATCCAAAGTACTTTTTTTCCAAGTTAATTAATTGGAAAAGGTAAATGTAATGCATTTTCTTTTAGTGTTTCCCTTATATTTTGTGATGCAATATTGCATTGTTCCAATCTACGGTTGAAAATAATTTAATTTTTTTTTTTCAAAATAGCGCCAATTTCTGGGTGTGAGACACAGCATATCACCAGTTGTGAGACGGTGTCAACACCCATCTGGGCAGCATAAAAAATACGACTTTGCAGGCATACTATTTTAATGTTGTTTTGATTTTTTTTCTAGTATTTTTGGGCATGTCAAGTGGAAAAAAGTCAATTGATTCAGAAGAAATCAATTTTAATGCTCTTGTTGAAGCTATTTAATTGTGTTTATTTGATAGTCACATTTTGGCAAATTAATATTATTATTTAGTATATAATAATATATATTATTAATATATTTAATTATTTCTACTAAACATAACGTTTTATGTCAAACTTATTAAATTTTAGCAACTTTTAATGAGTGTCTCACAACTGGAGACATTTTTTTTTTTTGAAAAAAGCGATGTGCTCGGAAAATGTATCGTAAAATTTTTTGAGTTCATCGAAACACTATACTTTCTTTTAATAAAAGTTGCGTATTTCTGTTACCTTTTGAACGGTGTATTTTATTTACAATTTCGTTTACCCGTTTACAATTTACGGGTCAAAAATGAAACCCGTCAACTGGAGACTCTCCTCTAAAAATAGGAAAAAACTTATTTTTTGTTATTATACATATTGAAATAACGAAGACAATAATTTTTTATTATTTAGAAAAAAAAAACAGTTAAAATTTAAATTTGATATCATATTTGAATTATCATTTAACACACCCGACATTTAACAGAATTGTCATCTGACAGAACAGACATGTAACAGAATTTTAACGTAACAGACCCGTCATTTGTTAGAATATCAATTCTGTTACATGAACCCGTCACCAAAAACTATTCCGTCGCTGCTAAAAATTAAAGTGGACCTAGCCCCAGGAGGTTTCACCAGAATTACTAAAATGGCTCTGTCGCAACAGCAACAAGGAATGTTGGAGCTGTGGCGACGAAGATAACTTGTACAAAGACTGTAACAATAGGGTGTCCCAAAAAAATAAAAAGTTTTTTTTTATTGGGTCTCATCCCCTAAAAATCTTTTAATTTGTGTAAAAATAAGAACATAATATTTGGAAATAAAATTTTTTAATATTAACCCGTAGTTCAGAGCCTTTGAACCATAAAAACGCTAAAAATGTAGTGTTTTTTCATTTTTAACATAAATATAAATGTCAAAATATAATGATTAGGGTGTCATTGTAAAGATAATTAAATTACCTTTCGATCCATATGTCACAGTATAAGATTCAATGAAAATTAAGAGTGTTACAGTCGATTAAAGATTAAATTTCATGGAAATTTTGATGATTATTAGACACTTAAGTAAAGAGTACTTTTTTCACATTGAACAGTAAAAAATATTTAGATTTTAATTTTTTTATTAAGAGTCTAACATTACAAAAATCCGTAATTTAATCGTCGATTAAATTCGTCTCAAAATCCGTTACCCGATTTTTAGACGAATTCGATCGACTTTTATGAAGTTCTTCGCCATTTTGAAATTTGAAAAACTGACATTGGACTCTAAATCATCGACTTCAGTATTTCTTAATCACTGATTTTAGTACGTTTAGTGGTTATATCTAAACTTATTGTTTCAATTTTTGCTGCAAATGTTGAAGGAATGATAAAAATTAAAAAAATAGTTTCGTTCACTAAATCTAGTGTATAATTGTCATATTCAATCAAATCGAGGTCCACAAGGGCTAAAAATTTTCGTAATGTTAGACTCTCAATAAAAAAATTAAAACCTAAATATTTTTTACTGTTTAATGTAAAAAAAGTACAAGTTACTTAAGTGTCTAAAAAATAAAAATCATCAAAATTTTCATAAAATTTGATCTTTAATCGACTGTAACACTCTTAATTTTCATTGAATCTTAAACTATGATATATGGATCGAAAGGTAATTTAATTATCTTTACAATGACACCCTATTCATTATATTTTGACATTTATATTTATGTTAAAAATGAAAAAACACTATATTTTTAGCGTTTTTATGGTTCAAAGGCTCTGAACCACGGGTTAATATTAAAAATTTTTATTTCCAAATATTGTGTTCTTATTTTTACACAATTTGAAAGAATTTTAGGGGATGAGACCCAATAAAAAAAAACTTTTTATTTTTTTGGGACACCCTACTGTAACAACCTAACGATCCATAAGGACAATTTTCGCAAAAGTTGCGGAGAAACCTTCGTAGTTTGTAAATGTCTAAACTGCTCTCTTGCATCAAAAATGTAGATTAAAATTAAACATTATCTTATTCCCCGCCAATGGTTGTCCACTGCCGAACATCATCGATCTCTTCGATGTGCTGGGATTAGTGGATGCTTATCCACTGCCAGACATGATTGACATCATGGATATGTTCGGTAGACCTTGCCGTGGTGGCGGGGCTTTTCACTAAAGCCAAACAGAAAGAAACGAACATGATGAGCGACCGTTAAAAACAGGAATACCTGCAGGGTAATACTTCGATTAATTCCCTCTCCGGTTCCGATTGTCAAGCGCCAAG